GCAACAAACCAAAACAATGGAGTCAATGGCTGCACTGGGCAGAGTTCTGGTACAACACAAACTTCCATGCTTCCCTAAAACAAACACCTTACCAATAGGGCAAGAACCTCCTGCAGTAATTAGAGGTGATGTTACTCTAACTACTGTGGATGAGGTATCCAGGCTCACTGCACAAAGAAACAGTATGTTGGATGAGTTGAAGGAAAACCTTGCCAGAGCCCAGAATCAAATGAAACAACAAGCCAACAAACATAGAAGAGAAGTACAGATTGAAGTAGGGGATTCAGTATATCTGAAAATTCAGCCCTACAAGTTAAGAAGTTTAGCTAAGAGGCTGAATCAAAAATTAAGTCCCAGGTTTTATGGCCCTTTTGAAGTGAAGGAGAAGATCAGTGAGGTAGCATTCAAGCTGAAGTTGCCAGAGGAAAGTAGGATACATCCTGTTTTCCATATCTCATTATTAAAGAAATTGATAGCCCCTACAATTTTTTTTCAACCATTACCAAAATGCCTGAAGGAGGATCTGGAGTTACAAGTAACACCTGAAAAGGTGTTGGATGCTAGAATAAACAAGGAAGGGCAAACTGAAGTGTTGATACACTGGAAAGAATTACTAGAAGAATTTGAGAATTCTTGGGAACCTGTGCAGGAATTGAAGAGATGTTTCCCAGAACTTCACCTTGAGGACAAGGTGAAATTTCAGGGGGGAGTATTGATAGACACGAGGAGAGGCAGCCCAATAAATACTTCAAAAAGGTGTATCAAAGGAGAAAGAATAAAGCAGTTAGTTAGTTTGACTTACTGTTAGTTTGTTCAGACTTATCCCTGCGTGGACTTTGAGTATAAATAGAAGGAGATAGCCAGAGTGGGGTAGGCTGTTTTGTTAGTTGGGACTGGACTAGGAGATTAGGCATCTCGAACTGTCTACAGCTTGTATTCCTATTCTGATTTGATTTCTTGTTCAATAAACTGCATCTTTCATCATTTCTTGAAAGAGATTGTGTTGATTTTCTATTGTTCAGATTCTTTCAATACCAGTGTTCTATCAGATGCACATGTTAGACGAGTTGAAAGATGGGGAGAAGAGTGATAGGATCATCGGCTAAAGAGAATCATCATAAGAATAATAGAATAATGTTACTTGGTGGATTGTTATGTCTAAGGGGTCCAGGCCTCATATTATTTAGTTATGCGCTGGCCCGTAAGGAAAATATTATAAATAGGAGCTGAGAGTAGAATAAGGGTAGGCTGAACTTGGAATCGGGAGAGTGAAGCCTCTCGAAGAGTCTCAATCTATATTTTCTTATCTTTGTTTCTGTTTCCGCTATTGTACGTTGGTATACTGTTTATTGTGAGGATCGGTTTCTACCAAAGAGGCGGGGAGGAGAGGAAGAGGGACACTCAAATAGACATGCTTCTTTTGATAAGTGGAGGGCGCATATTAGTAGGCATGGCAATGGGTCGGGGCGTGGCGGGTATTGCAAGACCCGGACCTACCCCGTGAATTCATTAGATAGACCCGCCCCGCCCCGTGACCCGCACAGGTCCAAATTTGTCAACCCATGACCCGCCTCATGCGCGGGGCAGGTCAGCCCCTCCCCGCCCCACCGTAACCTAATTAGCTAGTATACATTTCTATTTGTGTGAAGTTGTTACCACTTGTATCTACATAAAGTTTATCTCTAAATAATTATTAAAAAAAGAATATATTAAATCAAAGTCACAATACACTAAAAATTTTAAAAATTAAAAACAAAGTTCTTAGACTTGAATAGTTAATCTATTTATATTAATTAAAATGTTATATATAAAAAAGACATTGATAATTTGTCATTCATCCCATTCAAATTTAAATATTGATATGTTATATGACGAAAGAAGTTATGAATTATTATTATTATTATACACACACATACGTAGTATGTATGTAGAAGTATATTTCTACTATAATTTTTTTTTAAAAAAAAGTGTGTATACTTGTATATTGAGCGGGGCAGGTCAATACTATTACCCGGACCCGCCGGCGGGGCGGGGCGGATCTGCCCCATTCGCAAGACGAGGCGGGCCAGACCCGCCCCAAATGTCTTGGGCCAAGGCGGGTCATTACGGGCCGGGTTTTTTTAACAATGCCAGCATATTAGTGTGGATGATTGATCTCTTCTCTCTCTTTCATCTCTTTTTTTTCTTTTTATCTTCTCTATATTTCTATGTTCTTATGTTATTTTTATCTTATATCTTTCTCATGTTTTCTTATTTTATATTTATCTTTATCCTACCTATTTTATTTTACTTTGAGGCAAAGGTCAACCCTGAACCCGATCCATATCGGGCCTACTTTGGTTAGATATTGTCATGAAAGTGCTAATGATAGATTATAGAACTGATAATAAAGCATTTAAGGGGATGAAAAGAGAAAGAGCAAGCAAAAACCCAATCATAAATACCGGACAAGATGGGAAAAAGGTAAATAACGCAAATGGTAGGAACTCCATAGCTCACTACGTGAAACACCTGTACCCTTTAATCCTCCTTCAAAAACCAATGCAGACTAACAACAATAACAACTCAAGAAGATAAAGTGCATGTTTGGTAGAGATAAGTCCCTGCCTTCTAACTTTTGTACTATTTAAAAAGTCTCTAAAAGTTTATAGTTGACAATATTTTAAAAGATTTTTTAAAAATAAAAGATACTTTTTGAGATGCTACACTGAATAGCATCTGAGAAAAGTTGTAGCTTTTAGCATTAATTAGTCCCAACAGTTTATATATCAAACAGAACTAAATCAAAACAGTCAGTTTTCCATCAAACAGTTATGACCTTTTTATTTTAAGAACTTTTCACTCACTAAAAGCTAACAGTCACTAAAAAATCTCATAAAAGTATCGTATCAGCTAGTTGTGCCAAACATACCTCTGTTCTTAAATAAATGCAACAATCAACTTTTCATCTTTGCCAATGCACAACTTTGACCATTAATATATTTAATTCTCTTTTAGTAGAAATTTAAGAAATTCAGATTTTGAAAATTTAGGATAAAACAAATTTAACAATATATTTTTTAAAATAAATTATTAATACATTAATAAATAAAATGTAATCAAAGTAGAACATGTGAATAATGTAAAATTCCACATGTTGCATTTATTTAAGAACAGAAATAGTATATTTTATTCCAAAATTTTAGACGACCACAAAGCCTGGAGAGGAATCACACTATTAAGAGTGTTTTTACTTCGACTGTTTTCAATCCCAGACCAGACTCAAACAGACCAGACCAGATTTCCATAGTTATAAATACAAAGAGACCAAACGTTTACCAGACTAGACCAGTTCAGACCAGACTAGATCAAACTTAAACAGACCAAACCAGCAAATTTCAATCCAAATAAAAACATCCTAAACCAAAGAGATAAGTGGAATTGAATTATACAATAATAAAAAATAAAAGACAAAAAACTCACTCCAAAGTAAGATAACCTCAAACATATTAGAGAGGAAAAGGGACACACAATAAATTGGAAAATGCTACAAAAAGAAAATTGGGAGGAAATTACAGAACAAAAGTGAAAGGAAATAAAATGTTGAGGACTGTACAACAATGGTTCAAACACAATGTCATATGAATACTATGAAATTTTAACGTATGTAAATTAGTTAAAAACATAATTCATATGCCTTTTCCTTCGCATTTTCCAAGGTAAAAGAAAACCGAACATAAGAAATTATCTGTCCTTAACAACTTCTTTCCTTCCATAGCATTTTATGGTATCCAAACATAGTCATAATATCTCTTGGAGAGTAAGAGCAAAAATGCTTTTGAAGGTTGCCAATTGTGTAGATAAATTAATACAGATTTCAGGCTGTGAATGTGGTAATCATGTTTTCTTAGAATTTTTAAAAGATACGCCTAAATAAACAATTCCAAAACGTTTACATTTTGTAAATTCACCAGGAAAACAGAAAGTATGTTCATAATCCTTTTAATTCCTACTATGTTTCCCCTTTACTTGAATAGTTGAAGCTGCAGAAGATTGTGTTGTTTGAAAAACACAAATGACTACTACGAATGAGCACCGCCATACATTAAATACTGCAATAAAACTGAGCTAGTGACAAGCATTATATGAGGAAACATTTAGTCTATGTTTGAAATGCAGAAAATGGTAAGGAAAGGAATAAAATCCAAGGTGAATAGTTCTTTTAATGCTTTCTTTTACATGTTTATCTCTGAAAGTACAAATAAAATATATATCTGTTAAAACATATTAATTATATTGCCTAGTCTTCATAATCATAAATATAAGCACATATGGAGTACTACAATAACAACAACATCCAAGCCCTATTCTTAAAAGATGTTGGGATCGGCCGATCGGCTAACATGAATCGAACAATGATATCATAGGCTCATAGCCAAAAAGAGAAGAAAGATAAGAAAAATAAAAAGATAAGATAAGATAAAATGGATAAGATAAAAATTAATATAAGATAAAAAGAACATAAGAAAGAAATATATAAAAAGATAAAAGAACATAAGAAAGATAAAAGATAAAAATAACTCCGCCATGAGATCATTTGTGGTATCATGTATGTCCCAAGCAAGGATAAAGGAGGAGGGTGTTGTGGTAAGCGCGTGACGGCCAACAATATCACTTAGTCAAATCATATGACATGAATTGAAATATAAACATATACGGAGTGCTACGTAAGTAAAACCATTTTGAACAAATATATAAAATTGATTTATTATCTTTTGCGATTAAAGCTTGGATGTTGTTTTTGTATCTAAAATTGATTTATTGAGTTTGAGCCACTTCTTTTTACCCCAATTATGCCTTTCCTTCCAAAGCTCCACCATAATTTCCTCTCTACTTTCTTTCCCTGCCATTTTCCTGGTTCCCGAATGGGCCCTTACCAAATGCAAGCATTACCCAATAAAGTCCAAATAGACATATAAGTAAGTATTTCTTCCACATATATTTCCCGGTTCAAAACGTACCTTGGCTACCTTTTGAGATGCCTCAACCTGAGCAAGTTGTGCTACCAAATCCGAAATCTTCTGCTTCTCAGCTGCAATATCCTCTTGAAGTTTAGATTTCTGTTTCTCCCAAACGGAAAGCTTCTTCAAGCATTTTTTCTCCCTTTTTGCAACCTCCATACACATAATTGCAGATTCTGAAGCACTAAGTTTACAAGCCTCCATTTCTGCTCTAATTTCTGCATTCTCATTCTCAAGCTTCTTCACTGCTGAGTTGGCGCGGTCCACCTCGCCGCTTGCTTTGCGGAGAGCGTTCTCCATTTCTGTGAGTCTCTTCATGGTATTATCTTCCAGAACCTGCTTCCCCTTCTTCACACCTTGTGTGTCCTCCCTTTCCATCCTCAGCATCTTAAGTTCAGTTAAGTCATTGCTGAGCTTCCTTGCTGCTTGCATTGCTTTTTGATGGGCCCACTCCTTACGTTCCTTAACTTGCCTCTCAAGGTCCTTTGCTTGGCGGACCAAACTCACAATCGTCTCCTCCTTTTGATCCACACTCTCTTCGAGGTTCAGATCACGGAATTTGCTCAAAACGGATAGGACAACGTCTTGGCCGGCGCTGGATTGATCCTCGCCTTTCCCAGGAACGCCTTCTTCTTCTTGTTCTTCTTCTACTACCACTCCTCCAGGTGCATTTCTCAGTTGGTGTTGAGGAGATTTGGAGTTTGACCGAAATCCGGCAGCAAAAGCAGCAACATTCCTCTTGAGCAAATTCTTCATTGAAGGGGTGAGATTAAACCTCTTTGGGCATTCGATCTCTTTCTGCAAGAAATTCCCAATTAAATCATTCGGGTTCTCGTGAAACTTACACATGGAAGGGGTTGTGCCATTTGGTTGGGGAAGAAGGGGAACATCCATCACGCTGGCACGGCCCACGTGAAGATCACTCATTAGCAAACACCACATTGCATCCCCTTTGCTCAAATTTGGTTTGACCTGCTGCAGTAAACAAACCATGCCTGCCAAGGAGTATTCTTGCATCTGCTTCAATTCCGTGAAATTGTTGTTCTCGGAATCATCAACGTGTTTACTGTCAGAACTGTTTAAGTAGGACAAAGAGTTATGCAGGATATTGGTAAGCACATCCATTCCGCCATAGCAAAACCCGTTCTTTAGTATAGCCTTCAAAGCGACGTCCTCTTCATAGCCAAACGAGACAAGCTTAACCACCGCCTCCTTATACAGAAACTCCAAATTTTTCAACAGAATTTCTTCCAGTTGTTCCTCGGTACAGTAACCCCAGCCATTTTCGTCAACTCTGGTTCCTGAATTCAAGTTCGGGTTTGATGAGGTTTTGGCCGAACCGTCGTTTGCTGCACAGCCATTCGAAGGTCGGATTCCCGATTCCAGGGAGGATTTAAAAAGCGCTGGCCTCTCCGAAACGTTGATGCATGTGTTGTTCTTGACATGTTCAGGGTCGGGTTTGGACGATCGGGTCTTCCGACTGGCACGGATTTGCTTTTCTCTTGTGTTACAGCCCATCAAGTTTTCTTATATGTACTAGAAATTCAAGCTACCAGGGAAAAAAAACACAAAGCTAAAATGAATTAATACGATTTTTATGCAAACTTTTGCCTAAATTGCATATATGAACGATTGAGATCAAAATGATACAAAAACAAACAAAGTCTTACAGGTTTGCTGTTGTTGAGATGAAGATGGCTACTGGGAGAAATGAGGAAGGAGGAGGGGGCGAGCGAGCGAGCTATTGAATTTCCCGGAGAAGAAATGCGTACAATTATACCACACTCACAGTGGCTATTGGCTGTTACATAATTTGGGAGTTTCGATTAATAATACTAGTTATATTAAAACTTACAGTTCCAAACTACTCAGGGAGTGTTTGCAACAGCTTCTGCTTTAAAAAAAGCACTTTTGGAGTGATTTGGAAAAAGTGATTATTTTTAAAAGTTGATAGTGTTTGAGAAAAAAGTGATTTTGAAAAGTAAAAGTTGGTAGTGTTTGGTAAAATAAGTGCTTTTGGTGTATAAAAAGTGGAAAAGCACTTTTGACACGAAAGCCGAGAAAAATAAAAAATTGGTAGTGTTTGGTAAATAAGTGCTTTTTTAAGCCAAAAGCTGAGAAGTGCTTTTTTTAAAGTGGTTGCAAACCAGCCTTCAGTGTGCCCAATTTAGTTTATGCCGTACATTAATTTTTGTAATAGAAAACTACTCAGTGTGTTACAATTCCAAACTTAAACTCTTAAAGATGAGACTTTAGAGATATATTGTATGCTTTTAAGAGGTTGCAAAAACTCCCTCAAAAGTAATTATTTCCTACTACAAGTGTAATGAACAACAGGCTAAACAAGCTAGAATTTAAAGGAACTCAATTATTGTTGAACATTCCTGAAGCAAGATAGTTTGTTTTCATAGACTAAAATACTCCCTCCGTCCCGGAAAATTAGTCCCACTTTCCTTATTGGGACGTCCCAAAAAATTTGTCCCCTTACTAAATAAGGAAAGATTTTTTTAATTAAAAACCCATTTTACCCCTCCTTATTCTTTACCCTCCCACACTTATCCTTATTGATGGAGTATATGGCCCAAGAACCCCCGGCCCATAGACTCCTACTTCTGCTACACATATCCAATGAGCCCAGAGAACAACTCAGGCCCAAAAGCAACGGCCCAAGCCCCAAAATAGCCCGAAATACATACTGGGGTGCCTTCGGCCTCCTTGGCCGAAGGCTCCAGAAACTCACGAAGTAGCCCTCTCTGACATACGGAGCCACTGGGAGAAAACGGCGAAAAACATGAGCCTTCGGCATTGCCAAGCCCTCGGCATCAGGGGAGCCTTCGGCTGAACTTAGCCCTCTGCCACTCGGGGCCTTCGGCTACACAGGGGTCCTTGGTTACACGGAGCCCTCGGCTACACAAGAAGCCTTCGTCCAAACATGCTCAATCATCGAAGATTCCTTTTGGGGACAGCCAACCACCGCATTTAATGCCACGTCACATCCGCCAACCGCATTCAATGCGGTGAACGTACCACTGCCGGTGCCACCAGGCTGATGTGACCCTTCGGCCGTTGGATTACTGACACGTGTACCCTCATCGCATTTATTGCTGCTATAAATAGCAGCCCATTTCTCCTTGTAAAACATCATCTACACACAACTCCATATCTCGAGTTCATTTAATAAATCGACTCTCTCTCCTCCTATTTGCTCTGACTTCTCTCTAAGTTATTCCCACAATAACCCCTCGGATAAGATACCCCCCGGGTAGACTATCCATCATTTGGTGCTCTCGTTGAGAGGTCTGAACTATCAAGTAAGAAACCCTCCCCCTCTACCAAATACAAAACACTTGCCAAAAAATGGGAAGAACCACTCGTGCCCAATCCAAAACTCTGGAGGAGAACCACGTCGCCCCCGGCGAAACCAACGGGGCTGAGGCCTCCAACAGGCTCTTAGTACCCGAGGGTGGTGTCATCCTTGAGTTGGAGCAGGCTACCGCTGACCTCCGTCAGCAGCTACAGAAGAACGCCCCTGATGCCCGCATTGGCCTTGATAATCGAAGGAGGGATCGGAGTGAGAACCAAGTTCCCCCTCCGGCCCCGGCCATCGATCTTCAGGCTGCCTTTGCGGCCTTCGTTCAAAACATGGCTCTCAATTCCGGAGCCCTCGCCTCCCAGGCGCCCCTTCAGCCCCACGCTGGAGGGAATGTTATCCAACTACCACCACTCCCTCCTTTGTTCAACAGTCCTCCCCCGGGGATTGGTAATGCCGAGGGGGTCATGGCACAGGATACCGCCTCCCAAGAGGCCCAATCCAGGGACAAGCGCCCCATGATGAAAGAGAAACCCCGAACCTCTGTGCTTGAGAGGCTTGGGGGAGTTCCCGGGCACCGAGGGGTCCAAGACCGCCTCGGGAAACAGGCATTCAGCAGGCCCCAGGAGAGTGGAGCCTCTGCTTCGGGCGCCGAGGGCGTGCCTCCCCCACGAAGCAAAGGCAAAGCCCTCCTCCATGCCGATGACACCAGGCACCAGATCAATCAGGCGCAATCCTTCCGGGCCAACTCCCAAGGGGTTGCCCCGAAGGATCCCAAGGACGAAATCATTGAAGCCCTCCTCCGTCAACTCGAGGAGAATCGCCAGGCACCCCCGACGGCTTCCACAGCGAGGCCAGATCCGGAGTACGCTGACCTCCGGGCACAGGTGGAGGAAATGAAACGTAAACTTGCCGAAGGCTCAGGCGAGCCCCTCATTCAGCTCCGCACTAGGACGCCTTTCACCCCAAGGGTGTTGGCGGCCAAAATCCCCCACAAATATCGGGGGCAACCTATCAAACCATATGAGGGGAAGACGGATCCCCAGGAGCACTATAGTCGTTATCAAAACAGCATGATGATGATGGGGGCATCGGATGAATACTTATGCCGTTGGTTCCTTTCCACCTTGGAGGGACCAGCGTATGAGTGGTTCAACCGGTTGCCCGAAGGCAGCATTGATTCTTGGCAAGAACTTGCCCACCGCTTCCTTACGCAGTTTGGCGGAAGGCACCGCTCAAAGAAACACTTCTCCCACCTTCTGAATGTGAGACAACAGAAGGAGGAAACCCTTCGGAGTTTCCTGGAACGCTGGAGGCAGGCCTCCCTCGAGGTCGAAGGCGCCGATGACAGGACCCTGATGGCCCTCTTCCACACCGTCCTCCGCAATGGTAACTTCTCCCGGAGCCTTATCACTGATCCCCCCCCCGCGATTATACAAAGGCCCTTCAGCGGGGGGACCGATACGCTGAAGCGGAGGAAATCGAGAAGGACCGCCGCAACACGGATCCTTCTCAGAAGAATGAAGGCAGGAACCGGCCCGGAGGGCCTCCCCCTCCGGTCCACCGAGAGGCACAGTCCTAAGGCCTCCCCCGGAGTGGCCAAGCCAGACCCGGGGGTGGTTACAAGAACAATCCGAAGGCTTGGGCACAACCCGTCCTCCTGGAGCACCCACGCACTCCCCTGACGCACCCCGTCAGCGTCATTCTTGATCATGCGGAAGAGCGGGGGCTCGTTGAGCGAGACTCCCGCACACCCCTCGAGATTTATGCCATCGGTCCTGATGAGCCCTACTGCCGCTTCCACCGCCACCACGGGCACAAGACCGACGACTGCCACCAACTGAAAAACGCAATTGAGAGGCTGATACAGGCGGGCCACTTGTCTCAGTTTATCAGGGGGCCTCCTCCCCAGGGCCTCCTTCACCATCAAGGGCCTCCGCCGAAGGCAAACAAATGGGTGAATCCCAACACCATCCCTTTGGGAAACCCACAGGGGAAGAAGCGTGAAATTGGGGGCCTCGAGGACGAGGGAGAAGGCTCCCATCAGCAATACAAGCGCCACATTCACATGATTAACGGCGGCAACACCGGTGGAGACTCCACCAGCCAACGGAAGAAGTGGGCACAGTCCCTTTACATTGGGGAAGTCAATCACATGCCCCCAACTAAACGGCCGAAGGCGGATCCAATTTTCTTCACAGATGCGGACCTCCCCTCGGGTTCTCTGCCGCATAGGGATGCCCTCGTCATCCGCACTGAGATCAATGACGCCATCATCCACCGGACTTATGTCGACACGGGGAGTTCTGTCAACGTCATGTACCTCAGCACCTTTCAGGAGTTGAGACTTGACAGAGGGTCCCTCCGACATATCAACACCCCCCTCTCCGGATTTACGGGGGACAGCATAGACGCCGAAGGCGTCATCACCCTCGTGGTTGAATTCGGCGACGGGTCCCATAGAGCCAAGCTCGAAGTGGAATTCGTCGTCGTCAACCTCGACTGCGCGCACAACATCATCCTCGGCCGGCCTGCCCTCGAGGACTTGGAGGCCGTCATCTCTATGAGGCACCTCTGTCTCAAATTCCCCACACCCACCGGCATCGGCTACTCAAGGGGGAATCAGAAACTCTCCAGGGCCTGCTACCTTCAGCTTACCAAGAAGGTTAGCAAAACTGAATTTCGAGTTGACACCATCACCACCAAGGCCTTAGAGGAAGAAGAAGGCAGGCCGAGGGCTGAGCCTGTCGAGGAGACCGAAGACTTGATACTCGATCCGGCCAAGCCGGAGAGAGTCCTGAAGATTGGAGCCCAAGATTTCCACCGGAGGCCCAAGAAGAAGGCTCACTAAGCAAAACTTCACCTAAATTTGGCTAAGGCCGAAATTCGGCTGGGTCAGAGTCAACTATGTGTCATGCCGAAGTCTACACGAAGTCCTAAGGCAAGCTAAACCTACATCTACACAAACCGGGGGCCTCATGCCGAAGGCAGAATGTCAACAGGCTCATTCAACGATGAAAAAATTTCACTAAGTCCATAATCTTGGACCCCTCGGCAACGGTACACACCGGGGGCCCAAGCAACTCTCACGCCCGAAGGTCCACTACGGCACCTATGGAAGCTTTATGGAAATTTGCCTAAGTCCACGATGGGGGAGCCCTTCGGGGGCAAACCGGGATACTATCTTCACCAACCTTCGTACAGCCGATGGCCCCCTAATCTACTTGGCAATAACCTAATGCTACACTACGGTCGGAGGCTCGCCACTACCGAGGGCCTAGTCACCGAGGACATGATCTAAGTTCTTACTCAGGAAATTTTCTAAGTCCACAGCTTCAAGCCCCCCGATGGTCCTACGCTACGGCCGAGGGCTCATGATTGGGCTTACACTTAGAAAGATTTCTAAGTCCACATCAACAACCTCCGGCTATTCTACTCTACATCCGAAGGGTTCTGATCAAGTTGTACTTAGAAAATTCTCTAAGTCCACAAACTTGTGGCCTTCGGGAAGCCAGACTAAAGAAGGAAAAAATACATTCATCCAAGTGAAGGAAAGCATTCATACACGAACATGAAAGAGACAAAGGCATTCATCCATACAAAAAGCCCGAAGGCAATCATTCATTCAACAGGAAAAATCAAAAATGTGTTTCGTTACAAAAATATGGCCGAAGCCGAGGCCTATCAACTATTACAAGTTTCAGCTTAAGAAGATATATATTCAAAGTTGGGCTTCTTGAGCCACATCACCCCCCAGTTTGGAAACGGCATCGTCTTCAGCATCTTCATCATCCCCAGCCTCCTTCATCAGCTCGGAGTCCTCGAGATCAGGCCGCTCCACGCCCGGAGGCAATGGAACCCTTGTATCTGGCTGAAGGGGGGGCAGGCCATGAGCCGAGGGGTCAAACTCCTTAGGGTCAACGCTGAGGTGCCTAGCGAGCCTCCGGTAGACAAGCCATTGCGTGAAGAACTCGCCACCATCATAGTACTCTTTGCCTTTCCGGGCAAGCCACATTGCCCCGGGCCCCCTAACCCACGCATCGACCGAAGCCTCCACGACGGTATCCACCCAAGGCTTCCGCTCCTCGGCTTGCCATCCCTCGGCGACGAAGGCAGACACTGCATCTTTCTCAGCTTGGAGCGCCGCCTCCTTCCTGGCCTCTTCGGCTTTGATGGCGGCATCCTTGGCAGCCTCGGCGGCAGCTTCCTCAGCACTGGCCTTACCTTTGGCCTCGGCATCTCTTAGCCTTTGTTCCACGTCCTCCTTCTCCAGCCGGAGGGCCTCCTCGGCATCAGCAAGCCGCTTCCTGAGGGCGGAGATCTCCTCATCAGATTTCTTTAGGGCCTCGTCTGCCTGACCCTTTGCTATCCTAAGCTGCTCCACCCTCCGGGCTTGCTCGGAGGCAGCCAAGGCAGCCTGCAAAGAGAAAGGGGGGAACCTCGGCGTCAGAGAATTCACATCATGAAGTTATATCCGAGATACTTGAAAACTTTAAAAAAAAAGGGGGGGGGGGGGGGAGAATAAAGGAGAGAAGAAGACTCACCATGGTAGTATAACTGGCGACTTTGTAATCAAGGATATCATCCTCGAAGCGAGCCAGCACGGACTTGTCCTTCGAGGACATTACTCCCCTCATGAACCCGACGGGGTGCAGAGTGCCATGCAAGACGGAGGTCCCCGACTTGATAGGGAACTGGACAATCTCCGCCGGCCGAATCTCCTCATCAAAAGGAGAGGGAGGAGAACGAGGGGGCGTATTAGCCGGGGGATGTGAAGAAGGCTGGTCCTCGGCTATCAGGATGGGGGCCTCCTTTCTCCCCTCACCACCCTTCTTCTTCTTTTTCTCCGGAGGCATGACGCCCTTCCCGGTGTTCTTTCGCTTCAGCTCCTCGATCTTGGAGCCCCCAGCCTCCACATGGGCATCGGCGTCACCCTTTGAAGGGCCCTCAGCGTCTTTGTCTTTAGAAGCCCCCGGCTTCTGGAAGAACTCGTCAACGGCCTTCTGTGAAGGAGGCCCCCCTTTCTTTTTGGCCTCCTTCGCCATTTGCTTCTTCAGTAAGGCAAGCGACTTGGCATCCATGTCCGGACCTGTAAAAAAGAGAAAAAGAGATAATATAAGCATACAGGTGTCAGGTTACGGATACAAGACAAAGAAATGCCCAAGCACAAAGTAAGGAGCCTCCTGTAAACACCTCCAATGCTTTGGTAGACTCGGTCAATCACGGGGAGTGTCTCATCCTTATCCCCCGGCAGACGGTACCGACGAAATCCCAGCTTGTACATCTCTTCCGGAAGGGTGGCCGCCTTAATAGACATCAGCTTATCCGATCCCTTCGGCTTCGCCGCCAGCTTTTTGCCATTTTTATCAAGGGAAGCATTCCGGACCCTCAAATGCCTTCGAAAGTGATGGCGGAGAGGCTCCGGGAAAGGATTAGCGTCCATACGGAGATAGCAAAACTTCTCTTTCCAACCCTTATGTGACGAGGGCACCTCAGAAAAAATCCTCCATTCAGGCACCTGCTGGAGGTTGGCGAACCCTTCGCTGTTAGCGTGCCCCCCTCGGCACAAGTTGAAGCTCAGGAAGAATTGGTCCAACGTCGGCTCCACCTCCCGGCTTCGGCACTGCGACAGGAACCCGCTAATATATGAATGGCTATTGGGGGTAAGTTGGCAGGGGGCCAGTCCCACGAACTTGAGATACTCCAGCAGAAAGGGGTGGAGCGGGAATCGAAGGCCTAGATCCACGGAAAGTACATGCACTGAGAAGCACCCTTCCGGAGGATTCAGCAGCAAATCATTTGGCCCCGGTTCAACTACTTGTGCGAAGGGTCCTACGAGGACCTGAGTGGCCTGATAGTCGGAGGCTGTGGCCTTCGTCTTCAGCGCAAGGGCCGCCGTGTTCAGATACGAGTGGCCCTCGGGTATTCCCACCGGTTGACCCGCGCCAATGGCAGCCTGTTTTTTCTTCGGGGCCGCCAGGATCTTCTTCTTCTTTTTCCCGAGGGCGACACTTATCGGTTCCGGATCCAGGGGCCGGGAGCTACTAGCTTCACCGGCGCCACGAAGAGGGAGTGCGGCGACAGTCACCTTCATCCGCTCCTTTTCCTCTTCCTCCTCGGCCACTTGGAGGGCGAGGGCAAGTTCTTCGTCTTCAACGACTTGTTCAAAGTCTTCGGCTTCGGCCTCGGTCCTGAGATTATCTTGGACTTCCAGCGCCACTGCGGAATCATTTCTGCCCGAGGAGGTCTCACTCGAGGACTCCACGTCTGAATAGCCCTCTTGTTGCACCGAGGGCTCCCTCGAGATATCTTGAGAATCGCTTTGGGTTGACATTTTACCGAAGAGAAGTTGAAGGGTTTAAGGGAAGAAGGCTACTTAATGCTCTAACCGAAGGCTCCCAAAAATTCGCTAACACTAAATCAAATGGAGGAAATGGCAAAGTATGCTAAGGAATTCGAAGAACTGAAGAAGAACTGACCTCGAAAGTTGCTTTTGATCGAAGGGATTACTTTCTCTCTCTAGAAAATTGGGCAGAGCTTCGCTATAGCTTAAGGACGCACAATGGAAATGGCTTGAGACTTGGGGTATTTATAGGCTTTCAGCCTCGAGAACTGGGCCTCAATTCGAAAGCCCATCATTACGGGCCGCCGGTTCAGCCAATAGGCGGATACCGCCCACCTTCAACCAACGGCAGCCGGCCACGTCGACCCCTCTTGCAACGGCTCTATTTCAACGGCTACATATCGGCAACACTGGCGTACCCTCGGATGGTAGCCTCCGGTTATCGCTCACCACACCCTTCTACCAGCGAATTTCACCAAAACGCCTTCGAGCCAGTAGCGACATAAGCCTTCGGCCTATCAATGTTACCACCCCTCGGGGGCTCGTCAACTCATCATAACTCCTTTTCCCTCAAGTAGCTTTCGGCATAAGGAGTGAGGGACTGGGACACACCCCTCGGGAATCACACCCTTCGGCGGAGACAGAATATCAAAAGTTTCCACAAGTCACTTGCGGAAATGAGGCAGCCCTCGTCACAACACATGCAGGCAATACATCTATGCTTCCCCCGGAAAACCCTCGACATGTGAGGGACTGGGAAAAGCCTTCTGCAGTCATACAGGTGTTACACTGCCCTCAGAAAGCCCTCGACATGTGAGGGCTGAGGGGAGCCCCTGGCGAACATGCGAAGGTTACGAATACCTTCCCTCAGAAAACCCTCGACATGTGAGGGCCTGAGGGAAGCCTTCGGCAATCAGCAGAAGACGAACTCTCCAACAAAGGCACCCAACGAAATGATGCAGCCTCCGGGAGAATCAACACAACTACTCATTTTCCCTCAAGTACCTTTCGGCAAAAGGAGTGAGGGACTCCTGATGGAGTATATGGCCCAAGAACCCCCGGCCCATAGACTCCTACTTCTGCTACACATATCCAATGAGCCCAGAGAACAACTCAGGCCCAAAAGCAACGGCCCAAGCCCCAAAATAGCCCGAAATACATACTGGGGTGCCTTCGGCCTCCTTGGCCGAAGGCTCCAGAAACTCACGAAGTAGCCCTCTCTGACATACGGAGCCACTGGGAGAAAACGGCGAAAAACATGAGCCTTCGGCATTGCCAAGCCCTCGGCATCAGGGGAGCCTTCGGCTGAACTTAGCCCTCTGCCACTCGGGGCCTTCGGCTACACAGGGGTCCTTGGTTACACAGAGCCCTCGGCTACACAAGAAGCCTTCGGCCAAACATGCTCAATCATCGAAGATTCCTTTTGGGGACAGCCAACCACCGCATTTAATGCCACGTCACATCCGCCAACCGCATTCAATGCGGTGAACGTACCACTGCCGGTGCCACCAGGCTGATGTGACCCTTCGGCCGTTGGATTACTGACACGTGTACCCTCATCGCATTTATTGCTGCTATAAATAGCAGCCCATTTCTCCTTGTAAAACATCATCTACACACAACTCCATATCTCGAGTTCATTTAATAAATCGACTCTCTCTCCTCCTATTTGCTCTGACTTCTCTCTAAGTTATTCCCACAATAACCCCTCGGATAAGATACCCCCCGGGTAGACTATCCATCACTTATCATTTTCACTTATTCGCTCTCTCACCTTCTGTCGTTACCACTTCCGCAACACAATTCCCACCCACTTTCCTCTCACTCCTTCATTACTCCGGCGATAGCACTTCACCTCTGTCTTACACTATTCCGGCCATTTGTCCTCCCTTTCTTGCACTCTTCATTTCGTTGAACTTTATTTCCTTCTCTGATTTCATTTCCAGTTTAACCCTAGCTTATCTGTTGATCTAACCGTCTGTCCTAAAATCAAATCCCTAAATCCTAATGTGACACCGCACCCGAACGTCCTTGAAAATTCGATTTAAAAATTCAAAAGTGATGTATTGAATTTCCGATTTCAAAGCAATGGAAGAAACGATTAATATTTTACGAAGTACATGATTGAATATTGTATTGTTCAAACCCGCATTCTTTTGTAATTTTCATCATGTAAATTATTGGGATGAGCCTACACATATTGGAGATCAATAATGTGATTTAGGAAGTTGACTTGTTCTAAATAAATTAGGATGAGTACAAAAAGGCATCTTTGACAAAGATAAAACAATAGGACCCATCTTCCCATTTTTGGAGGTATTGGTAGATATTTTGGACCCCAAATTTAATGGGATCAATTGGGAACCACTCCACATGATTATAGTACCTGCAAAACAAGAAAAATAAGTGAGGAGACTTACCTTGGCCGCACAAGCTGGAGGAGGGCTGCACAAGACTTGATTGGAATCAACCTTGAGACCCACCTTGTCTATTTCCGCACAAAACATGGGTGTGTTTTGTCTCCCTTCATTTTGAGAGTTGTACTCGTCCAAATGAGGTGTATAATGTGTCCTTGGATAGCCTTTGAAGTGTAGTTTCATAATTGAGTGGCCTTTGTTCGAGTAGAGAGAGCAATCATCCAAAAATCGATCTGGAACGAGCAGTGGTCTGTGAACTCGAGCTGTGGGAGTGCTGAGACTGTTTGGTCGATATCTCGAGTTTTACAAATCAAATTAAGGCGTGTGAGATACCCACAGAAAGCTCTCAAGACGAGGAATCCGTGAAGGTCTGGTTTGCAGGAATCGGAGTTGTGGAAGGCTTCCAAATCGTCCGAGCAAAACACAACCTCGCAGGAGAGGATTTAATCTTCTAAAGTGAGTTTTAACCCCAAAGCTTTACTTTTCATTCTCCAAATGATATGAACGATTGGTGAGACTATTATACACTAATCCAAGTGTATAATATGTCCTTATAAAGTTATTTTATTGATGTGAAGGTTAGATACTAACCTAGATGCAAATATTGGAAAACTAGGAATCGAGTTAGCCGGAAAACACCCGTTCTAGGGGCTGTTTTCGTATCAACGATTAAGGGTTGAACTAGCACTTTGAGGAGGCTGTTTAACACTCATATTTGAGCAAGGAATCAGTTCCAAATCAACCTTGACCGAAGCTTTGACCATTGGACCAAGAAGGGAAAGTTTAAAGCTCAATTGAGGTGAGGATTGACATCTAATTGCTTACAACTTGTAGGTTAAGCATGAGATTACCTAAATGCTTAAATCATGATTTTTCATGGATTATGATGATTATATATTGATGAAATATTGATATAGTTGCCAAAGAATGAAATTTGAAATGATTTGAGAATGTATGAATAATATGAGATTAAATGAGTATAAATGAACTATTTTGTGAAATAGGCATTTTGCTCATGTATGAATTATGTGGATACATAAATGAATATTTGTGTATTGAGATTGAATACTTAAGTTGCTGTTACATAATGATAAATATGTAGAGAATTACAAATAATGAGGATAATGGTATGATAACAATAATCCTAATAGTATTGAAATACTAGTTAGTGATTATTGGAACTTGTTGATTAAATTGATCCTAGAGATTGGATTGTATGAAAGGTACTTGAATATAGTTCAAGTGTATATAATAACTTAGTATGGAACTAAGGTTAAGTTATGGGAAGTCTTTAAGGATGACCCATGGTAGTTTAATGATATGTCAATTCTAGGCATAGGGTTGCTTGAGAATTGGACCTTAATGCATGGTGATGTGATAGAGCCGAGCTCTAGAATGCATGTAAGGTGTAGACTTGGAGTCTATGTATTGTATAGCTAGAGCCGAGCTCTAGGACTTGCGTGGTGATGTGATAGAGCCGAGCTCTAGAACGCAAGGTAGGGAATTTGACCCGAGGTATATGAATTGTATGGTGATGTGGTAGAGCCGAGCTCTAGAATACAATGTCATGTACTAGGGTTGGACTCTAGGAGTTGTTGTGGCTTATAGTCACGGGGTTGGGAATGGTGATTTCCAAATGAACATGGGCCCACGGGCCGGCTACTTGACTTTTATATAAAGTAAGTATATTTTTAAACGGGGTAACTTAGGGTTACAATCATAATGTACTATCACCCTATTTGAGGGTCTTGTGTTTGAAATACTTGTTGTATATCTATTAGATGCCTGCCACACCAGCACTTTATAGCCCTATAGAGTGCTGACCCCTTCGGGGGCGTCCCACCACCATTTTTCAGGTTGAGGCTAGAGCTTGCTTCCTGTGCTCGTTGCTCGAGAGATCATCTAGGAGCGAAGACTTGGTTCGTGCTTCCTCCATTCGGATTTTAAACATTAATAATCATGCTCATGGATATCTTACTATGGAGCCTGCGTGCTCATGAATAGCCCGGTGTGGCCTTTTTGTTTTAAACAATGTTTTCCGCTGCGTTATGAATTACTTATTATGTTTGTTTATGGATGTATATGTGTGAATGATATTCAAGACGCCTTGTATAATCTGAATGTGTTGGACTGCGGTTGACTATTCATATTGTACGGCGGGTTGTTGACGTGTCCGGATAGGTCCGGGGCGTGACAATTAAGTTGGTATCAGAGCCTTAGTCCATAAACTTCATAATGAAGTCTCAAAATTCTCTTTTTAAAATGATTTTGAAAACCATGAGCATAAACGTTTTGTACTTGAAGAGCTTTTGGTACTTGAGTTGCAAGGTCTCTAATTGTTAAGATGGTACCCTTAGCAATTGGTATGGCAGCAATTTGAGCCAAGTAGTGTCTTAAGTACCTATCCGTCAATTGACATTTGATACGAGTCTAACGACTCTTTCCAAATTTCCTTTCAGAAATGGACCGTGGTGGCAGGATTACTAGGAGAAACCCGACTGGCCGTGTACCAGTGGAGACTGGACAGGGCAGTCGAAGGACCTCTAGAGCATCTGGAGGAGCTGGCCGTGGAGGCCGATCACAGACCGTGAGCGACGGTCATGTGAGCACCGAAAACGAGAGCTACTGGTCCTATGAGGACTCGACCTATCGGCCGGAAACAGAGCCGGTTGAGACCCCTTATGAAGGGGATGATGACGATGTAAGTGATGAGGAGGAAAATGGCTCCTTGGCACGGATTGAGGCGCTACTCTAACAGTATCACCGTGAGCGTGAAGAGAGGAGGGAACGCCGAAGGCGCCGGACTGGGCAGCCTTCGGGCATGGCTTCAAGAGGAGGAAGTCATGGTGCATCTAGAGTCCATGTGGAACCACATGGAGGCCAAAGTGATGGAGGTCCAATCATAAGGATCTCCAAATACATCAAAGAGGCACGAGACTTGGGGTGCAAACCGTTCGATGGAACGGGTGACATCTCCGTTTCGGCGCAATGGATTAAGAGGCTGAATGAGGCGGCCCTGGACATGCAACTCACCCCCGACGGTAACATGTAAGTATATTAAAGGAACCATCCAAAAATAGCATTTTTACAATGCATCAAATCCAAATCGAAATGGCTATCTCAGCTAGAATAAACTAAGCTAGATAAAAGACATCAAAAATAAATGGGACAATCCCCACTTCACAAAGTCAATAATTAATTTAAAAGTCCATCCCAGCATAGGAATCCTTAGCTTCCCGATCCAAGAAGTGCAGCACATTATTTTACCTTCCTACCAATCATTCTACCAAGCCGTCTTTTATACTTCTCGTTTGTCTCACCCTTTCTCCTCCTACTTTTTGTAGTGGTTTTTTTTCCATGATGTTTGTGATCCGGTTCTTCTTCAGTGTCATACGATTCCGAGCTATCACTTTCCTCAATCAGTGTGTTTGGAGACGTGGCAGCAAGCTCCAAGGATGGCGCGGCAGCTAGCTCCAAAACGGGAGTGGCAGTAGTTACCAAAGCGGCTGTAGCAGCAGGCAAACCTACCGCGGCAGTAGGTTCCACAGGTCCTCTGATTGCCTCCTTATTAGGAATTAAATAGCCCATCTTCATGGAATCAGTAGTTGCCTCAATGACCCGGCCATTCAGAACTCCCTGGATAACCTCATTCTTCTTATGAGCGTCCTTAATTGGTATGGCGTCCAAGTGGTGGGATGGGACCAAAAGCAAATATGGTGAGACCGTCACTTGGGAGGATTTCCGACGGGAATTCTTTGCACAATACTACTCGGACTTCGAGGTAAACAAAAAGGTGAGGGAATACACCCTTCTAACCCAAGGGGGTAACATGACGGTAAGGGAACTCGAGTACAAGTTCAGGGACCTTGCCGATTACATACCGGAGTATGCTTGTGATGAGAACCGGATGGTAAATCACTTTTGGGATGCTCTAGACCTAGAGATACGTGATAGGGCAACACAATTGCCTAACATGACGTTCGCTCAGGTGGTCGACCAAGGGCTGAAAGGGGAGAAACAGTGGGAGGAGAGGAAGAAGAGAGACGCCGAAGAGGCGAAAAAGAGAAAATGGGAGAGTCATGGCTCCCAAGGTTCCAACAAAAGGGGGAACCACGGAGGAGGATCTTTCCGGGCACCACCGCCACCATCAAGGGGGAACCAAGGCCCAAGTGGGCAAGGCTCGAGGTCACAGACCTCAGTGGTAACTCGTTGCAACAATTGCAAGAGGAACCATTCCGGTAAATGTCGCGACCCCCCTAGATGTTTCCAATGTGGGGATGCCGGGCATTTGAAGGCACATTGCCCACAACTGGGCGGGGGAAGGACATCGGGACCAAGTAGTGGCCCGACGGGTACACGGAATCAACCCGGGGCTTCTCAAGCAAGCCGGGGACATGGGGGAGCAAGCACGAGTAACGCGCCATCCGTGAACCAAGGAAGGACCCAGGCTAGGGTCTACGCAATGACGGAGGCGGATGCTCAGGCTAACCCGGATTCCGTTGCAGGTATTGCCTCTCGTATAATAGTGTTTTATCCTTAATTAGTCCATAAATTAAGGTTACTAATCGTTGGGATCATTGCACAAGGTTTTGGGGTCGAACCGGGGGATTCCGGGCTACTACAGGCGGCTGGAACCCAGGCACGATCGTGCCTAAGGCAGACACGATCGTGCCTCCAAGCCAGTAGCTGCGTAGAAGATTCCCCAACCCAGGCACGATCGTGCCTACGGCAGACACGATCGTGCCTACAAGGCAGTAGCTGCCCAGGTATTTCTCCAAACCAGGCACGATCGTGCCTAAGGCAGACACGATCGTGCCTCCAAGTCAGTGGTTCCGCAGGGTTTTTCCCAACCCAGGCACGATCGTGCCTAAGGCAGACACGATCGTGCCTCCAAGGCAGTAGCCCCAGGGCGTTTTCCTGAGCCAGGCACGATCGTGCCTACCCCAGGCACGCCGTGCCTGGCACCCAGATTGCCGAAACCCGATTTTTTCGCATCGTTTTGCGACGTTAAGGCCTCTTCTTGATCCCTAACGTGCGTGTGAACATTGCAACCTTCTATAAATGAGTAGGGAGGGTAGGAAAGATGTCTTACATGGTTCATGAATGTAGGGACACTAAAGATTAACGGGAAGGATGCACGAATCCTTATCGATACCGGAGCGCAACGTTCATTCGTGAGTGAGGCGTTTGCCGAGAGCTTAGAGATGCAATCAATACAAATGACACAAACCTTAGTGGTATCAACCCCACTAGGGGAAGACGTTGAAAGAAACAATTACTATCCATCTTGTATGGTGGAAATCGGTGGCCAAACCTTGACGTGTGATTTCGTACCGCTGAGTATGATGGAGTTCGATGCAATCCTAGGGATGGATTGGCTAGAAAAGCATCATGCTAGGGTAGATTGCTACACAAAGGTGTTGGAACTCGAAGGCACACATGGGGACACCCTACGCTTCGAGGGGGACCGCGGCAAATCAAATAGTTGTATCATATCCGCCGTGAGAGCGAGAAATATGATGAGGAAGGGATGCCACGCATATCTAGCATACGTGGCTGACAAAACCAAAGAGGAAACGAACATCGATGATGTGAGGGTGGTTTGTAAGTATCCGGATGTCTTCCCTAAAGACCTACCGGGGCTTCCACCTGACAGAGAGATTGAATTTGTGATCGAGGTCGAGCCTGGTACCAAACCAATCTCCATACCGCCATACCGGATGGCACCCGCTGAACTTAACGAGTTGAAAACCCAATTGCAAGAGCTTTTGGATAACGGTTTCATTAGACCAAGCCACTCCCCGTGGGGAGCACCGGTTCTTTTTGTGAAAAAGAAAGATGGGACACTTCGAATGTGCATTGACTATCGTCAACTGAACAAGGTCACAATCAAGAATAGGTATCCGTTGCCTAGGATTGATGACTTGTTTGATCAACTACGAGGAGCAACCGTGTTTTCGAAGATTGACTTAAGGTCGGGGTACCATCAATTGAAGATTAAGGAAGATGACATACCAAAGAGTGCTTTCCGCACAAGGTATGGGCATTTTGAGTTCCTTGTTATGTCGTTTGGGTTAACAAACGCCCCGGCGGCATTCATGGACTTGATGAACCGAGTATTTCATAAATACTTGGATCGATTCGTGATCGTGTTCATAGATGACATCTTGATTTACTCAAAGAGCGAAGAAGAGCATGAGGAGCACTTGATACTTGTTCTTGAAACACTACGGGAGAAGCAACTCTATGCCAAATTTTCTAAATGTGAATTTTGGCTAAAGGAGATTGGCTTCCTCGGGCACGTGGTTTCGGGATCGGGGATTGCTGTTGATAACAAGAAGATAGAAGCCATTACTGAATGGGAGAGGCCAAAGAACGTCAAGGAAATTCGTAGTTTCCTTGGATTGGCAGGCTACTATAGAAAGTTCGTGGAGAAGTTCTCTGTTTTGGCATCGCCATTGACGAAGCTCACTCGTAAAGGAGCTAAGTTTGTATGGGATGACAAATGTGAGAAAGGGTTCATGGAACTAAAGAAGAGATTGACTGAGGCACCGGTACTTGCATTACCCAAACAAGGTGTGGGGTACGATGTCTATAGCGATGCGAGCATCCAAGGGCTCGGATGTGTACTGATGCAGAATGGGAGGGTAATCGCCTATGCTTCACGACAATTGAAGAAGCATGAGGTGAATTATCCTACTCATGATTTGGAGCTCGGGGCAGTGGTATTTGCACTGAAGATATGGAGACATTATCTCTACGGGGAGACATGTCACATATACACTGATCACAAGAGCTTGAAGTACGTGTTTACTCAGAAAGAGCTAAACATGAGACAGAGACGGTGGATGGAGCTGATAAAAGACTACCATCTAGTGATAGAGTATCACCCAGGCAAGGCAAACGTGGTGGCAGATGCTTTGAGCCGGAAGAGCTCGTCTGGGGCATTGATAACTAATTTGAGGGCATTAAGAGCCCAACTGGAGGTAACCAGCGATGGTGCCTTATTGGCACGATTTGAGGTGAGACCCACTTTACTTGATGAGATCAAGAAGGGTCAGGAAGCCGACGAAGAACTTATGAAGGTCCGGGAACGCATGCAAGCGGGGCCGGTGGAGGATTTCAGGGAAAGAGATGATGGTCTCTTGTTATTTCGTGACCGAGTGTGTGTACCGTCAGATGATGAGCTCCGAAAGTCCATCTTAGAGGAGGCTCATTCATCGGCCTATGCCATGCACCCGGGGGGCACGAAAATGTACCGTGATTTGAAGGAAAGTTACTGGTGGTCTGGAATGAAGAGGGAAATAGCCGAGTACATCAGTCGGTGCCTTACCTGTCAACAAGTTAAGGCAGAACATCAGCACCCAGCAGGCTTATTGCAACCACTCTCCATCCCTGAATGGAAGTGGGAGCACGTGACTATGGATTTCGTGGTAGGCTTACCACGGACTATCAGGAACTATGACGCGGTTTGGGTCGTTGTGGATAGGCTCACAAAGAGTGCACACTTCTTGCCTATCAACACTACCTACCCACTTGAGAGGTTAGCCAAATTGTATACGGATGAGATCGTGAGGCTGCATGGGGTCCCGGTGACCATTGTATCTGATAGAGACCCACGATTCACATCACGTTTTTGGCCGAAATTCCAGGAGTCTATGGGAACGAAGTTGAAGTTCAGCACTGCTTTCCATCCACAGACGGATGGGCAGTCTGAAAGGGTTATACAGATCCTAGAAGACATGCTGAGGGCTTGTGCATTGGAGTTCCAGGGGAGTTGGGACAACCACTTAGCACTTGTGGAGTTTGCCTATAACAACAGTTATCAGGCAAGCATCGGCATGCCTCCATACGAGGCATTGTATGGGAGGAGGTGCCGTACACCGTTATGCTGGGACGAGGTTGGCATGGCCAAACTCGAGGGTACTGAGTTGGTGGAGGTCACCAAATCAAAGGTGAAGTTGATTCGAGAGAGACTCAAGGCGGCTCAGGATAGACAAAAGAGTTATGCAGATAAGCGTCGAAGAACCTTAGAGTTTAAGGTTGATGACGAGGTATTCTTGAAAGTTTCTCCTTGGAAAGGGATCATTCGGTTCCAAACCCGAGGAAAACTTAACCCACGATATATAGGTCCATTCAGAATTATAGAGAGGATTGGGGCCGTTGCATATCGTCTACAATTGACTCCTGAGTTAGAGAAGATACATAATGTGTTTCATGTATCCATGCTTAAGAAGTACGTGCATGATCCCTCTCACGTATTGGAGAAGCCACCTGTAGAGGTACGTGAGGATTTGAACTACGCTGTTCAACCTATCAAAGTCACCGATAGAAAGGTGAAGAAGCTGAGGAGCAAAGAAGTCCCAATGGTTAAAGTCCTGTGGAAGAGCGATCGGGTCGAGGAAGAGACATGGGAAACGGAGGCTTTGATGAGGAAGCAGTATGCTTTCCTATTCGAGTAGAGCTGTGAATTTCGGGGACGAAATTCCTGTTAAGGGGGGGTGAACTTGTGACACCGCACCCGAACGTCCTTGAAAATTCGATTTAAAAATTCAAAAGTGATGTATTGAATTTCCGATTTCAAAGCAATGGAAGAAACGATTAATATTTTACGAAGTACATGATTGAATATTGTATTGTTCAAACCCGCATTCTTTTGTAATTTTCATCATGTAAATTATTGGGATGAGCCTACACATATTGGAGATCAATAATGTGATTTAGGAAGTTGACTTGTTCTAAATAAATTAGGATGAGTACAAAAAGGCATCTTTGACAAAGATAAAACAATAGGACCCATCTTCCCATTTTTGGAGGTATTGGTAGATATTTTGGACCCCAAATTTAATGGGATCAATTGGGAACCACTCCACATGATTATAGTACCTGCAAAACAAGAAAAATAAGTGAGGAGACTTACCTTGGCCGCACAAGCTGGAGGAGGGCTGCACAAGACTTGATTGGAATCAACCTTGAGACCCACCTTGTCTATTTCCGCACAAAACATGGGTGTGTTTTGTCTCCCTTCATTTTGAGAGTTGTACTCGTCCAAATGAGGTGTATAATGTGTCCTTGGATAGCCTTTGAAGTGTAGTTTCATAATTGAGTGGCCTTTGTTCGAGTAGAGAGAGCAATCATCCAAAAATCGATCTGGAACGAGCAGTGGTCTGTGAACTCGAGCTGTGGGAGTGCTGAGACTGTTTGGTCGATATCTCGAGTTTTACAAATCCAATTAAGGCGTGTGAGATACCCACAGAAAGCTCTCAAGACGAGGAATCCGTGAAGGTCTGGTTTGCAGGAATCGGAGTTGTGGAAGGCTTCCAAATCGTCCGAGCAAAACACAACCTCGCAGGAGAGGATTTAATCTTCTAAAGTGAGTTTTAACCCCAAAGCTTTACTTTTCATTCTCCAAATGATATGAACGATTGGTGAGACTATTATACACTAATCCAAGTGTATAATATGTCCTTATAAAGTTATTTTATTGATGTGAAGGTTAGATACTAACCTAGATGCAAATATTGGAAAACTAGGAATCGAGTTAGCCGGAAAACACCCGTTCTAGGGGCTGTTTTCGTATCAACGATTAAGGGTTGAACTAGCACTTTGAGGAGGCTGTTTAACACTCATATTTGAGCAAGGAATCAGTTCCAAATCAACCTTGACCGAAGCTTTGACCATTGGACCAAGAAGGGAAAGTTTAAAGCTCAATTGAGGTGAGGATTGACATCTAATTGCTTACAACTTGTAGGTTAAGCATGAGATTACCTAAATGCTTAAATCATGATTTTTCATGGATTATGATGATTATATATTGATGAAATATTGATATAGTTGCCAAAGAATGAAATTTGAAATGATTTGAGAATGTATGAATAATATGAGATTAAATGAGTATAAATGAACTATTTTGTGAAATAGGCATTTTGCTCATGTATGAATTATGTGGATACATAAATGAATATTTGTGTATTGAGATTGAATACTTAAGTTGCTGTTACATAATGATAAATATGTAGAGAATTACAAATAATGAGGATAATGGTATGATAACAATAATCCTAATAGTATTGAAATACTAGTTAGTGATTATTGGAACTTGTTGATTAAATTGATCCTAGGGATTGGATTGTATGAAAGGTACTTGAATATAGTTCAAGTGTATATAATAACTTAGTATGGAACTAAGGTTAAGTTATGGGAAGTCTTTAAGGATGACCCATGGTAGTTTAATGATATGTCAATTCTAGGCATAGGGTTGCTTGAGAATTGGACCTTAATGCATGGTGATGTGATAGAGCCGAGCTCTAGAATGCATGTAAGGTGTAGACTTGGAGTCTATGTATTGTATAGCTAGAGCCGAGCTCTAGGACTTGCGTGGTGATGTGATAGAGCCGAGCTCTAGAACGCAAGGTAGGGAATTTGACCCGAGGTATATGAATTGTATGGTGATGTGGTAGAGCCGAGCTCTAGAATACAATGTCATGTACTAGGGTTGGACTCTAGGAGTTGTTGTGGCTTATAGTCACGGGGTTGGGAATGGTGATTTCCAAATGAACATGGGCCCACGGGCCGGCTACTTGACTTTTATATAAAGTAAGTATATTTTTAAACGGGGTAACTTAGGGTTACAATCATAATGTACTATCACCCTATTTGAGGGTCTTGTGTTTGAAATACTTGTTGTATATCTATTAGATGCCTGCCACACCAGCACTTTATAGCCCTATAGAGTGCTGACCCCTTCGGGGGCGTCCCACCACCATTTTTCAGGTTGAGGCTAGAGCTTGCTTCCTGTGCTCGTTGCTCGAGAGATCATCTAGGAGCGAAGACTTGGTTCGTGCTTCCTCCATTCGGATTTTAAACATTAATAATCATGCTCATGGATATCTTACTATGGAGCCTGCGTGCTCATGAATAGCCCGGTGTGGCCTTTTTGTTTTAAACAATGTTTTCCGCTGCGTTATGAATTACTTATTATGTTTGTTTATGGATGTATATGTGTGAATGATATTCAAGACGCCTTGTATAATCTGAATGTGTTGGACTGCGGTTGACTATTCATATTGTACGGCGGGTTGTTGACGTGTCCGGATAGGTCCGGGGCGTGACACCGAATACCATGGAAGATCTACCTGCATGCACTGAATGCATGGCGGATCTTATGGTTCCGGATAGCGTTTTGGAGTCCCAGATCAAAGACAGTGAAGGTCCGGATAAGCCTGTGGTTCCGAACAGTGAAGATGTGTCAGATGAGGAGGACGGTGGAGCTATGATGACCTTAGTGGTTCCGGACAGTGAAGAGGAGGCAGAGGAGGAGGACGGTGGAGCTATGATGACCTTAGTGGTTCCGGACAGTGAAGAGGAGGCAGAGGAGGAGGTCGGTGGAGGTGCGGTGGAGGTTCAGCTTCCGGACAGTGATGCTTGGGCTAAAATAAGGAAGGATGTTCGAATGCAGTACATTCGTTATCCTGGTCTAGAGGACTTCTTAAAACTCATTCTACCCGGCTGGGAATCGAGGATGTGGGACGTTAACGCCTAACAGGGGAGTTTGTTTTTTTATCTGTTTTGCATTGCAAATCTGTATGTTGGTATGTTTCGGAAATTGTTGTCTGGTTTGTGTTACATGTATGTTGTGTGTGTAGATGTGTTTGATTCTGGGGCAGCAATGATGATTATATGGTGTTCTTATATACTCAAATCTCTTTGTTATGATGCATATATGGTTTGAGCATTGTTGATTGGTATCTATGTATGCTTGTATGACTGAATGGTAAGGGTTATGTGAGGCTGCTATGATGACCTTATTGGACTGACCTTTGTTGGTTGCTATGATGACCTTATTGGTCTGAGCTTTGTTGGCTGCTATGATGACCTTATTGGTCTGAGCTTTGTTGGCTGCTATGATGACCTTATTGGTCTGAGCTTTGTTGGTGTCTATGAGGCTGCTATGATGACCTTATTGGTCTGAGCATTGTTTTGTGTGAGGCTGCTATGATGACAATATAGTCTGAGCATTGATTTGTCTGAGGCTGCTATACTGAATAACAGAGCCATAAGGCTTGAGAAAGGTGTCTGTTATGCTACAGCATTATAGGCCTCTAAACATTCCAAATTTCTTAGGCCTCCACAAAATTACAAAAATATAGGCCTCAATATTATGACAAAAAAAGGCATTTACAAAAATTCAAAAAACACGCCTTCAGAACTAATGGATTGAGTTCATTAGTGAAGATGACTTTGTCCTCATCATCTTCATGGATGAACTGGCCATTAGTAGCCTGTTGTTGGGATAAAACAGCTTCTGTCGCTTCTAGTAACTCCACAGCAACATCTATGCTTGTTGGTAGTCTGCCTTCTGTGATCATTCTGTCTTTTGTTTACCGAGAACACCTGCTCCTGAGCCTCCTGCTTGCCTGCCATGCGACGCATGGTGTTTGCTAGCTCCCTCATGTTTCGAGGGTCCCGCTTGGCTGCCTAGGGGATAAGGTTGGTGATATTACCGCCTCTCCCCGCAAACCACAGACTCTCAGAACGTCCGGTGGTCTGCCCACGTGATCTCCTGTTACTTGCTAGCTAGTCAGAGAGGTCATGTGTATGTTGGTTGTTGTTTCCTGCCATCTTTCTTGCTGAGTGAGAGTTATTTAGGAGCTGTTTGGTGAGCTTTTCCTGGAAACTTTTCATTCAGTTTCTCATAGACGGCGTCAGTGTTGAGCTTTATTCCTTCAACCCGTAGGCCCAACACGTAACCTACGGATTTCAGATGGGAGAGTGTGTGAAGATATGAAATACAAGCAAGTAAGATGGGCTCTAATGAATCTGTAGCAATGGGCTGTATCTTATTAAATGATAATAAGGATTTGTTACAACGCACAAGTGCTACCTGGCCAACGGCCGATCGTCTCTCTCGCTAAGGAAGAGCTGAGAATACTGCTATGAGCTATCAGAATGTTAGAATGTTAAGGCGGGTAAGTTGCAAACCCTGTACAATGAAATAAATGCTACTGTTTATACTACCAAGGAGCAGGTGGATGCTTTGACGTGGAGGGTTGTGGATGGCTAGGACCCCAACCACCAAATCTTCAACACCAAATGCGATTCCCGCCAAAATCTCTTTTTCCCGTCCGGGTCTGGGGACAAGCATCCCCGCGAATATTTGGTCTCCTCATGACGATTCTACCAAGTGTGAGAACCGTACAGCTTCTAGCCGTAGAAGCTAGAGTGCAATGGCTAGCCTTCATGGCCAAGGATCCCGAGGCCGATCGTCACCTAAGCAGGAACTATCAAGCAAGAGACGAGGAAGTTCACTCCCTCTTCCCACCTAGTCTGTCAATCCAGTGGTATAATATAGGCATGGCAATGGGTCGGGGCGGGTATTGCAAGACCCGGACCTGCCCCGTTACTTGGCGGGGCTGGTCCGCCCCGCCCCGTGACCTGCACGGGTCCAAACTTGTTGACCCATGACCCGCCCCATGCGGGGCGGGGCGGGTCCGCCCGGCCCCGCCGCAACCTAATTAGCTAGTATGTATTTTTAATTGTAGGAAGTTGTTACCAATTGAATCTACATAATGTTTATCTCTAAACAATAATTAAAAATCAATATATTAAATCAAATTCATGATACGCTAAAAATTTCAAAATTTAAGGAAAAATTACTCAAACTTTTTTTTTTGATGATAAAAATTACTCAAACTTGAATAGTTAATCTAATTAGTTATATTAATAATTGAATATATGTATTAAAATTCTATATATAAAGAAGACATTGATAATCCGTCGTGCATCTCATTATAACATATTCATATATTATAAGATCAAAGAATTTATGATTTATTGTATACACACATATGTATGTTGAAGTATATTTGTAGTATAATTTAAGAAAAAGTATGTATACTTATATATTGAGCGGGGCGGGGCGGCACGGGTCAATTCTAATACCCGGACCCGCCCCATTGTATTGGCGGGGCGGGGCAGACCCGCCCCATTTGCAAGACGGGGCGGGGCAGACCCGCCCCAAATGTCTCGGGCCAGGGCGGGTCATTGCGGGTCGGTTTTTTTTTGACATCCCTAGTATAATAACCACATCTTGGCCCTAGCGGGAGTGAAGGGTTCCCTTTCATCAGTGAGGTTGGATGTAATTCAGGCTAGGATGTGGATAATTGGCTGTTATGGGTTTTGGAGCTTGGGGACATACGTATGGCGCCAAGCTGTTGCTGGGCCTTGAAGCTCTTCGCTAAAGGAGATAATGGGCCGACCATGGGTTGAGCCATTAACCCAACAAATAAAACACAAAGAAATTTACGATTAATGCAACCTAAAATATAGTAGATCAATAGGATATTTGCAAGAGATAAACAGTATATAACAACAACAATAACTTCAACACACAAAACTACCACGAAATCTGTAAAACTAAAAATTGCAAAAACAATATTATTAGGGGTGAAATATGTCCCCACTGCCTCACCCCAATCCCTGAACACTGCTGCACTACCACTTCCCTTGCCTCCTGACCCCAGTCCCTACACTGCCACTGACCAACCCCTGCCATCACCTCCCCAACTTCCGCACCCAACCGGCAACCACACAACCCTAGGCTCCCTAGCCAACACCACACCACAACCATAGTTGTCGAGCCCTAGCCCCTAGTGATCCACCACCGCCATGCCAGTATGCCACACCACTACTACTAGTCTACTACTCCTTATCCCCAACCCCCTAAAGGTGTATCCGTCGCTCCACAATCCACACTTATGTCGTAGTTCTACTTTTGTCATTTTCCTAATACTAAAATATCCATGCACTCCAAAGCACAAAATAAACCCCTAACTTCATAGGGAAATTTCTAACATCTCGTATATGGATAGGATCAATTTTCCAAAAATACAATTATGGTGGTGAACTGGTGATCAATGAAAAGAGCTGCATATTCAACACAACCAGTTCTCAAATCTTAACGAGGATTTCAGATCCACTCTAGCCTGCCGTGAAGCTCAACAAACAGTTGGATTTTACCATCTGGTGAAAGTAGTGCCTGGTTCCTAACCTTGGCTTGCCTTGTCTGGTATTTAACTTCAAACCTCGGGAATTGCCTTTTCTGCCCCTGTTCGATGCCCAGATTCTCTGGAGGAATCTCACTGATGAACTCATCCGCCACGTCTCCGTCTTCATCAACCTTGAGACCCTTCCCGTACCATCTCAAGCCCTACGTCAGGAAAAACTATTAGTTGAGCATAAAGCATCAATGAACAACATTCAATTTAAAAAAACTACACGGCTTGAAAGCAATGCAGATGCTAGGAATGGACTATGAAAACATTTCCATAGCATCCATAAATGCATAGCTTTCCCTAATTCTTTCATATCTTGTCGTATCTTTTAAACCTTTTACCTTTCCATATCATCTCAAGTCCTACGTAGGAAAAACTATATTTTGGGCATCTAGCATCAATGAACAACATTTAAAAAAACTGCGTGACATGAAAGTGTTGTAGATGCTAGGAGTGGACTGTAAAAACATGATAGTATAAAAAAAGCATAGCTTACCTTAATCCTGATTCCTTTCATATCACGTAGCCTTTTTTAGAAGCACATGCATATGCTGATGTGCACTAATGACATAAATCCAAGACCTTAAGGCATATCTTGCACATTTTCCCTTATGACAGAAAAGGTGCACTGTTTGTTTTGTCCCAATATGGCACATACTTTATTGTCCCAATATGATATATACTAAATATGGGGCTATGTTTCATAAACCGGACCGGACCGGGCGGATCAGCCCAGAAACCGGTGAACCGGATCCTTACCCGGTCCGGTTAGACACAAACCCCCAAACATTGGTAAAACCGGAAAAAACCGAGGACCCGTTCGGACTTCGGACCTGGGGGGAACCCCGGACCCGCACAAACCCGGGAAATTGGTTGAAACCGGTATTAACACAATTCAAAATTGCTACACCACAGGGAATCGAACTCGGGCGTGCCGTGAAAGAGCTGAACATTCAATACAACTAACCACTACGCTTTGTTGTGGCTTAGGAGTTCTTTACCTTTTATTATACATATCCCATAAGTTAAAATGTTAAATACATAGCAAATCATACATGTTTCTACTCCATATTTTTTTACTATCCTGTTATATTAAAATAACATGGGTTAACTATCAAAATAGGACTAAAAGTCACTCACTTTGCACAAATAGGACCAAAAAATAAACTATGTTTCCATAGGACTAATTATGTGTGTCTTGGACAAATATACCCTTATACCTATTGGAATGTTTTAATTCATAATAAAATAATAAAAAATAATAAAAATTCGTAAAATATACCAAAAAATTAATATAAATATTTTACATAATATTAAATTTTAAAAAAAAATTGAAAAAGAAAAAATTAAAAAATAAATAAATAAATTCAATAAAAAAAATTTTGGTCACTGCCGCCTCTGCCGCCCCAGCACCACCATTTCCAGTCATTTGGAGAAAAAATGCCAAATTTATTATGAATTCCATATTTTTTGGCATAAGTCAGAATGATTTAAGATGGCAGAATAAAAAGGTTGGCATTCTCAAAGAAAAATATGCCATCTTTTTGGCATTTTCAGAAAAAACTGGCAGTTTTTAGGAAATATGGCATTTTTTTAACGGTCGGAGGTGGTGGTGCACGGAAGCGGCACCACCACCTCCTGTCACCGGGGGGGAAAATGCCAAAAGAATTACGAATGTCATATTTTTGGCAAAAGTCAAAAGGATTCAAGTTGGCAGAATGAAAATGTTGGCATTCTCATAGAGAAATATGCCATTTTTTTGGAATTTAAAAAAATATGGCATTTTTTACACCGATCGGAGCTGGTGGTGCAGGGAGGTAGTACAGACGGTGGGAGAGGCATCCATATTTTTTTTAATTTTTTTTATTTATTTTTACTATTTTTATTAATTTTCAAAAAACATAATTAAAAAAAATTAATGTTTTATTTTATAAAAAATTTCTTAATTTTTTAATTATTTTTCTACGAATTTTTGAATTTTTTTCAAATTTATTATGAATTAAACATTTTATTATGACTTTTGATTATATTTTACTCACATTTAAAGGAGGGGTAAGAATGGAATGAAGAAATATGTATGTTTCCAATAGGACCAATATGGTCCTATTTTGGATTTTGGAATAAAAAACATACAAGTCCTATTTTGAGCTTTTGCCATTGTTTTAGTCCTATTTAATTTCTAAAATAACATTCAAATATAAATCAAAATACTGAAAATATACTTAACATTCTATAGTAAGTGTAGTTTTTCAATTTTTTTAATACAATATGTTACGGAGTATATATTTAAATATTTACTATAGAAAGAAAATCATATGTAAATATTTTATAGAGGTACAAAATAACTTGGAGTATAAAAAAATATTATTGATTCAAATAGGCCAAAGACTATTCTATAAAATATGATGAATGTGTGAAGACATTATTAATTCTTCAAAAGATACTTTATTAAACATTATTAGGTCCCTTATATAGAGATTACAAGAGTCCTAATAGGAAGCATAAGGATAATAGGAAGTTTCCTAAATTTAATAAGGAAATAACCAAGAATATGACATAACTAGGATCTAATTAATTAAATGCTGCCAGTTGTCAATCTGCCTCTTTGACCAACTAATTCCCCTGAACCTTCCCGTCCACGCATTCATTGATATACTTGTTCATAGTGTGAAAGTATATTATAATATACTTTAGAATATGCTTTAGAATATTTTAGGAATATACCATATATAGTATTATTGTATAGCATCTTTTATAGGAATATTCTATCTTTGTAATCTATATTTAAAGGACCTTACCCTTCAATGAAATACACAGAAAATCCTTTCCTCTCCAATATTATTTCTTAGTTTATGTGCTCTATTTCAACATGGTATCAGAGCATCCAATTCAGTTTAGTTATTTCAGTTTAGTCATTCATATCTCAGTTTCCTTTCCAGTTTCACCAAAGAGCTGATTTCAGTCCAGAACTTTCAGAACCTCCTACCCTTCTCAGAACCTCTTCCAGAACCTGAGTTAACTCCAAAACCTTACACACCCTTTTGTCTGCAGAACCTCTACCCAGACCCTAGAACCAGATTCTTAATCCAGAAAATCAATTAGCTACTATTTTTACAGAAACTCAGTTAAGTTAGCTTTATAGCCCCAGATTCTTCAAGCCAGAATTCGAGTCAAAGCAATACTCAGGAGGTGCGCCTACCTCAGACGACCCAGCAGCCGAAATCCGACATCCAACTGCAAGGCGAGTGTGCTACACGCGCCACCACAAGCCCGGCGCGCGATACCACTTTTCTGGCCGGAGTTTTGACCGGAGCTCTTCGCCTGACACTCGCCTGAAAGTCCTCTGCCAGGTACACTTTTCTTTTCTCGTTCTTTGTCCAGCAAGGGACGGGATCTGTGGACCGAAGGAAGCCTGTGGTTGGTCGCTAGTGTCTGGCATCGGATACTGTGGACGCCCCAGGGTGGGTTGGTCACTGCCTCGCTGGTGTCTGGTCTCGGATATTGGTAAACATCCGCTTGCTCCTCTTGCTCCTTCGCTGATTGTTCCGCACATACTGGGATCTCGCATCAGACCGACAGCTTGAAATTAAGTTTGGAGTCCCACGCCCTGGATATTTTATTCTCCAAATTTTAAAGTCCACAAACGGGAACCTGCTGGGCTGCTGTAAGATTTCAGAATATCTCTCTTTTTCTTTATCTAATTATTGTGTCAAAAAAAAAAAAAAAAAAAAACATACGAAAAAAAAAAAAAAAAAAAATATGTCTTGTACGAGTGGATTTGACAGACGAGTAATATGCAATTACTGTAAGAAGTCGGGGCACTTGATCAAAGAATGTAGAAAATTGTTGTTCAAAAATCAAGGAAATCAGCTTGCTCGTGTCGCTTCCGCTACCAGTTCATCCGATGGATCAGTTGCTATTTCTTCAGATGAGTATGCCAAATTTATTTGCTACCAAGAATCTCTAAAGCATTCATTTGTCCCTATCTCGGTAGCCGCAAATTCAGGTATTTCAAACACATGTCTTGTTTCATCATCCTCAAAATGGGTCATTGATTCAGGTGCCACAGATCATATGACCGGTAATCCTAGTCTATTCTCGTCATTTCATTCATATTTACCTACTTCTAGTGTCACTTTAGCTGATGGATCTACATCACCCGTTCTTGGATCTGGTACTGTTGTTCCAACTTCTACATTACCATTATCGCCTGTTTTGAGTCTTCCTAATTTTGCATTTAATCTGCTTTCCATCAGTAAAATCACTCGTACTCTTAATTGTTCTGTAACATTTTTTCCTGGATATTGTGTGTTTCAGGATCTGTTAACGAAGCAGATTATTGGTAAAGGACATGAGTCAGCTGGTCTTTATATTTTGGATACATCCATCACAAAAGGTATCTCTTGTCTTGGGGTTGGGACTTTGTTAGATGCTCATTACCGATTAGGACATCCATCTCTCCCATTAATGAAGCAAATAAATCCCCAATTTAATAAGATGACCTCTTTACAATGTGAGTCATGTCAATTTGCGAAACACCATCGTACTAGCTTAAGCCCGCGAGTTAATAAACGAGCAAATGCTCCATTTGACCTTGTTCACTCTGATGTTTGGGGTGCTTGCCCGGTTGTGTCTAAAGTTGGTTTTAAATATTTTGTTACCTTTGTTGATGACTATTCTCGTATGACATGGTTGTATTTCATGAAACGTCGATCTGAGTTGTTCACTCATTTTTCTTCCTTTTGTGCTGAAATTAAAACTCAGTTTAACGTTCCTGTTCGGGTGTTAAGAGGAGACAATGCCCAAGAATATCTTTCTGCTACATTTAAGTCATTTATGCTTCAACATGGCATTATTCATCAAACTTCATGCGTTGACACACCTCCTCAAAATGGAGTTGCAGAACGAAAGAACCGACATCTGTTAGAAACTGCACGGGCTCTTCTATTCCAAATGAATGTGCCTAAACAGTTTTGGGCAGATGCCGTGTCTACTGCATGTTTTTTGATAAATCGAATGCCATCTTCTGTTTTGAATGGTAAAGCTCCTTATCATTGTCTATTTCCAAACAAAGAGTTTTTTCCTATCCCACCTAAAATATTTGGTTGCACTTGTTTTGTTAGAGATGTTAATCCTCATCTTACAAAGTTAGATC